CGACAGGACCGGAGCTGCTGTGTCCAATGTGGGAGTCAGCATCAGGTCACACGTGGCAGCACCTGAACCCAGGAGCCACGTTCTGCTTTATTTCATCTTCACACAGTTGAAGTGTCCTGTGGTTGGTTGGTGGCTGTCATCTTGGACTGGGTAGGGCAAAAAAAGGAAAATGAGCAGAGAAGGGCCCTTGGGTAGAACCCGGACTCGGCCGCGCTCTCCCCCACCCCCCTGTCTTGTCACTTCCTCGAGGAGGGGTCTGTCGCTGGAGACCTTGAGGGAGGAACCAGAAGGGCCAGGCCCGGAGGGAGAAGGACATCTGGGCCTTGTCAGGTTGTGTAAGCCATGGGCAGGGAGCCAGATGTGACCACTGGCCAGCAGCAGGCGGAGGCCATCAGCGGCTCCTGAGGACGTGGCCAGCTGGAGAGAACGCCCGGCCACACACGGGGCCCTCAGGCCGGAAGCAAGGGTGTGAGGGGACCTTGGGCAGCCGCCCAAGCCCGCTTTCCCCCAGAACGGGCTGGAGCAGTAAAGGGGAGAAACTCTGATACCTGATGAAGATGGGCAGCTTTGAGGGCCTCAGGTGCCCCCCACCCCTCAGCGTGGCCCCCAAGTGCAGTGGGGTGTGGCTGTGGGGTCTCAGGCCAGTCGTGGGGGCTGTGAAGAGCCGGGCCTGGCTGGACCCTGGCTCTGTCTCTGCTGTCCTGTCCTGCCCTGACACACACCCGCCTCGGTGCAGAGGAAGGACAGAAAACGAACTTGGGGTCAAAGGAGAAATGGGGTCAGAGGCTGACAGGAAGTAAGATCCGGCTAGAATTCACTAACTTTGCATTTTCTCTTTTTTCCTCCTTACTTTCTATTCCTGCGGGAGAGTTTAGCCTTTTGCTAGAAGAAATCCTATTTCCTTTGGGAAACGTGTTAGTAAACAACAGGGCCTGAGCCCTGGGATGTCTCCTTCTGGGGAACCTGCACCTCATCTTGTGACGTGGGGCAGAGGGGCACCGCGCTCTCACGGGGTGGGCAGCACCCCGGTCCAAGCTGGGCTTGATCCCTGGGACCCCATCTGGTCCCCTGAGCTTAATAGGAGTGATCCCTGAGCGCAGAGCCAGGAGTGAGCCCTGAGCACCGCCAGGTGTGACCCCATCCCCCACATACACAAAATTAGATTAGGACCAGACCATAGTACAGCAGGTAGGGCACTTGCCTTGCACACTGCCGACCCGGGTTCAACTTCTGGCCCTCCACCCGTAGGATCCCGGAGTACCACTAGGAAAGATTCCGGAGTGCAGAGCCAGGAGTTGCCTCTGAGCCTCACCAGGTGTGGCCCTAACACAGAAGCAAACCGAAATATTTCCTGTCCGGACCACTGACACAGGGGCATGAGGCTGCGGTGTCGGGTCTCTGCACCCCTGAGGAAGGGTGTGTGACTCCCAGTGGAGCCTCTCACACTCTCCTGGGATGGGTAAGAGACTGCAGGAATAAGCGTCCAAGGTGACGTTTGCAAGCAACACTGCTGAGTGAGGGGAAGCAGAGGTGGAGGTGGACAGGTCCTGGGGGTGTGGGCTCAGCTTCTGGTCCCTGATTGGCCGGACCCCTCACCATCTCTCCACCCTGATTGCCGGGGTGCCCGCGCCATCTCTCGGCCCCGGGTGTCTCTCAGCCAGGGGTTGGTACTTAAAACGCGACCGCATTCTGGCACGTACCCCAGCCACGAGCAGTGCGGCCCAGTGAGGCCCTCCCATCTGTCCTCCCTGCAGGCCCTCGTCCCCAGGTCCCTGCTGCTGTCCTCTCTCCGCCCAGCCCTCGTGGGTGAGACTCAGGCCCGAGCACAGGGCCAGGTCCAGAGACTGAGGCGTCTCTGCTCTCCCTGGGCCCTTTCCTGGGCCTCCAGTCAGAGTCTGACTTGGGGGTGGGGGGGAGGTCACCAAACCCATGGCCCCCAGGGCGCTATGCGAGGGAGGAGGGACTCGGAGGACGAGACCCAGTGGTGCAGGAGACTGTGGGTGCATCTGGGCAAGGAAGAGACGTTGCCACTCCTGTGGGTGCTTGAGACAGATTCTGGTTGGTTGTTGTTGCTTTTTGGGTCACACCCAGCGATGCACAGTAGCCAGGGGCTACTCCTGGCTCATGCACTCAGGAATTAACTCCTAGAGGTGCCTGGAGGACCATATAGGGTGCTGGGAATCGAACCCGGGTCAGCCATGTGCAAGGCAAATGCCCTACCCGCTGTGCTGCGGCTCCCACCCCAGATTCTGGTTGTTGTTTGTTTGGGGGCCACACCCGACAGTGCTCAGGGCTTACTCCTGGCTCTGTGCTCAGGAATGACTCCTGGCAGTGCTTGGGGGACCCTATGGGATGCCGGGGATCGAACCCCAGGACGGCTGTGTGCAAGGCCAACGCTCTCCCCGCTGTGTTATCGTTCCGGCACACCCCTGGTTCTGGTTCCTGAAGGAGCTGCGGTGAGGAGCAGTGGGGGAGTGACGGGGGGGGGGGGCAGGGTGGAGCCCAGCGCACCCCGAGGCAGTGGGGGAGTGAAGGGGGGGCAGGGTGGAACCCAGCGCACCCCGAGGGCCCCACGCAAACAGCTTCTCTGTAGCCGGCTGATTCTTGGAAAATTCCAGAGTGCGCGCTCATGGGTCCCGCTCCCCAGAACCCGTGGCTTCCTCTCGTCCCCCCTCCCCCTCCGTGCCCGTGACCCGGAGTCGCCTAAGAGGAGGCAGCAGCAGCTGGGCCGGGTCATTCCAGAGCCTCTTTCCAAGCTGTCTGCAGAGGGAGCCGAGGCCGAGGGTGTGCCCGGCTGCCCCGTCCCCCGCTGCAGCTGGATGGGGTCACTCGAGGTCTCGGGGCGTGTTGGGGGTGCTCAGACGGTTGCCCTGGGCAACTGCGCCTGGTACTCAGCGAGCCACCGGGCATTACTGTTACAGCAGGAGGCTGGAGCAGTGTCAGGGGTCCAGTATAACCGCGGCAGCCTGTGCTAAGAAAGTCCCAACGGGGCTGCTCCTCCCCCCACTCGGTGCTCGGTACAGCTGTTAAGTGATTCAGGGGGAAGGAAGCGTCTATTGGAAACTGTCGCCTCGGCGCGCTTCAAAATGCCTCCACTGGGGGGCAGCAGTGAGTCACAGGCGCTGAAGGGCGTTCACCTACCCCAGAGATTCTGTGTTACATACCGGTGATAAATCTACTGCAGATCTTTGGGGTGTGGGAGAGAGGGGAGGGCACAGTCTACAGTGCTCATGGGCCTTGCAGTGCCGGGGATCAAACCCAGGGCCTCTCAAATGCCAGGCATGTGCTCTGTCCCTTCAGCTGCATCCCTGGTCCAGTAATACAAATATTTTGACTTTTGGGATCACACCTGGCCGTGCTCAAGGGTTACTCCTGGCTCTGTACTCAGGAATTACTCCTGGCAGTGCTCGGGGGACCAAACCCCAGTCAGCCGCGTGCAAGGCAGCGCCCTCCCCACTGTAATATCTCTTGGCCCCAGTAAATTCATTTTAATTTTTATTTTATTATTATTATTATTATTATTATTATTATTTGCTTTTTGGGTCATACTCGGCATTGCACACGGATTACTCCTGGCTCATGCACTCAGGAACTACCCCTGGTGGTGCTCGGGGGACCATATGGGATGCCGGGAATCGAACCCGGGTTGACTGCACCAAGGCAAATGCCCTACCCATTGTGCTATCTCTCCAGCCCCAGTAAATTCATTTTTTAAAATTTATTTATTTATTTTTTGCTTTTTGGGTCACACCCAGCGATGCACAGAGGTTACTCCTGGCTCTGCACTCAGGAATCATCCCTGGCAGTGCTCAGGGGACCATATGGGATGCTGGGAATCGAACCCGGGTCGGCTGTGTGCAAGGCAAACGCCCTACTCGCTATGCTATTGCTCCAGCCCTGTAAATTCATTTTTAAAGGAGAAAAGTTCTTCCACTGAAACTCCTCTCCTGCCAGGAAACTCATGACCTCTCGATTCTGGCCTGTCCCAGGCCAGGTCAGAAGCCCTATAAGGAGATGCTCCTTGGGGAGCTTAAGCGGCTAATTTTTAACTCCCTGCTCCCGTCTCTGCTCCTGCTTTCACAGTAGACGTATGTATAGATCCGAGAATTGTCCAGTGACCCCAAATAGTGTCCCATGAACTGTACATGGGTCCTTGTTCCCCAACAATATTTGGTCCTGGAAAATGCACTAAAGTGAATCCACATGAGATCCATTGTAATTACTGTAATTACAATGTGCGATTACAGTTATTGTAATTACCACATTAGCACGCGACAGGGACAAATGGAGATGTTACTGGCGCCCGCTCGAGCAGATCGATGATTAACGGGAAGTCAAGTGATCAAGCGAATCCACATAAAATGGGATCAAAGAGGATAGCAGTGTACCATATCGGACTGAAAATTTCACTTAAAAAAGTCTCTTTTTTGGGGGGGGGGAGGGGTGGAGCCACACCGGCAGTGCTCGGGGCTTCTTCCAGCTCTGTGCTCAGGGGACCATGTGGTGCTGGGGATCGAACCCCGGCCTTGCAGGCAGCCGACCCAGATTCAATCCCCGGTACCACAGAGGGTTCTCTGAGCCCCTCCAGGGGTGACCTCTGAACACAGCTGGGCGTGGCCCCGAAACTAAAGAGGTCGAGGCTTGTGCCCACTGATGACCTTTACCCTTCCCTCGTGATCACAGAGTGGCTGCCATGGCTCCGGAGGACTTTGCGTCCCCACAGGGCACGTGCAGAGGCAGGGAGGAAAGGGCGTGCCCTCTGCTGCTCTGAGGGGCTGCAGGTCTGCTCCAGCTCTCCTCGGAGGAGGCCCTTCCCCTGCACTCACTGAAGTGGAAGCTGCAGCCTGTCTCTGCCCCCTCCCCCCACCCCAGAACACAGGAGGCTCTGCCTGCAGGCCACTGGGGGCACATCCTGGACTGCAGCCTGTGCAGAGGCGGGAGGGGCCAGGGAGGCTGCTGGGGGCCTCCCCTCCCTCAGCCCGAGTCTCCCCTGACCACAGGTCAGAGAGCAGCCAGCACCGGACCTCGCCAACAGCCAGCCCGGGGCCGGAGGCCAAGAGCAGTGAGGCTGCAGACGGGGGTCCTGGGGCCCCCGAGTCCCCCAGCGAGCCAGCCTGGCCACCAGACAGCAGCTCCGAGAGCAGCGCCCTGGACACAGGTCTGTCCCGCCCGACGTGCGGCCCGGCCTCCCCCGGGCTGGTCACCGGTGTGCCCAGGCCCACTGCAGGCTGGAGCTGGACTCCCAACCCCCGGGGGCCGGGCTGGGTGGGTGGGGTAAGCACCCCATCCTGAAAGCAGGGGGAGACGGTCACCGGGCCACCCCTAGGAAGGCCACAGAGAGGGGAGGCTCCATCCTGCACGCCTGGGCTGGGAGACGAGGCGTCGGCGGGGTGAGGGGGCACTGAGGTGGGCGCTGCCTGGGACAGGGACCCCCACAGTGCAGGCTGGAGGGGGGCAGCCAGCACCCCCACTCCCACTCCCTGCCCCAGGCATACCAGATGCTCTTAATAACAGTGGCGCCGTTGATGCCACACATGCGTGTACCCTGTACCCACAGGCCTGAACACACGAGCACATGCATACACATGCATGCAGGTGTGTGTGTCTGTGTGCCCACAAGCATCACACACACACACACACACACCCCGTGTCAGCAAGGCCTCAGGACAGAAGCAAGTGGCCTGCCAGGGGCTCACACGTGCCAAGAGCCCAGTGGCTGTGCCCGCTGCCCAGTGCTCTTGGCGGAGGCCAGCGTTGGAGCCATCCACACCCAGCGGGGTCATGCTCCCGGCCTGTCTGAGCCTCTTGAAAACACAGGGTCGCCCGAGCCCCCCGTCTCTGCCTGGGCTTCTCACCGGGCACAGCCCAGTCACACGTGGCCTCTCACGGAGCCCAGAGCCCACGAGCAGGTTGATGGGAAGAAGCTGGTCCCGTGATTCAGACCTGAGAAGGTTCTAGAGCTCCGAGGTGTCAGCTGCCCCTCCCTCCTGCTGCCCGCAGCTGTGCCCAGCGGCCGGGCCCGACTCACTCCCCTGAGCCGGGGGTGGGGCAGGGGGGAAGCAGAGAGCAGGGAGGATGCCCACAGAGGGTGGGATTGTCCCATAAAGGGGCCCGACGCTGGCTGGTGAGGGTCCCTCGGCTTAGCCATGCTGGAGACCCCGGGAGCCCCATGACGACAGCCCTTCGTCCACATTCCCTGTGTTAGCAGGGTGGGTGCCCAGGAAGTCTGTGCCCTTGGGGGGGGCGCTTCTGACACAGCCCCCCCATGCCCACCTCCCGTGGGACGGTTAGACCCGAAGGCACCAGGGTCCATCTGAGGAGGTCATAGACAGCTTGAGCGGCAGTGCCCTCTCAGGGGGCCTCTCCCGGGGCCCTTGGGTGAGGCCCCCAGGGGGTGGGCACGTGGGAGGGGCCTGGCCTCACTGCGGGGCCAGGGGCCAGGGCCTGAGACAGGGCCGCTGACCCCGCCCCATGTCCCCCAGCCTGTGCCTCCCCAGGCGTGGACGAGCAGCTCTTCCGCTCTGTGGAGGGCCAGGCAGCCTCTGACGACGAGGCAACGACCGAGAAGTGGCGAGAGACGCCGAGGCCGAGGCCCCCGGCCACCGTTGGCGGGCTGCTGGCCGGCCTCTCCAGCTGCGGGAGCCGGTAGGTGACCCCCTAAACCAGGCCACTCTCAGCCCCCTTGAGGGTGTCTCCCACTAGGTGGGCATGTCAGGTGGAGCTTCTGGGGACTCTGACCCAGGGTAGAGGCCGACCTGCAGCAGCTGAAGCAGGAAGGAAGAATGTTGCAGCAAGTGCCAAGGCCCTGGGGCTCGTGGAGGGGCACAGGGACCCTTGGGCCCAGGGAGATGGGCCCAACACAGGCCCACTGGGTGTGGCGTTGGCCTTCTTGGGAAGGAGACGGGGTTCCCCAGGCTGTCACAGCCTAGTCCTCCCCCTGACCCCACGACCCCTGGGACGAGCAGACTCTGGAGGCAGCTCCGCACTGGACTCCCCTCTGCTGCAGGTGCAGTGACCGGAAGCTGGTGACCTACTGCATGGACGGAGCCGAGCCCTGCGCTGAGCAGTTGGGGAGCCCGGCCTGCGGCAGGAGGACCGTGCAGCCCCCCGGGGAGGAGGTCAGCCCCTACCCGGGCCCCCTTCAGAGATGACACACAGACTCAGAGGAGATCTGACATGCATTTTGAGGACAAATTAAAGGATTCCTTTCAGATTAGCCCCAGTACAGAACAGGGAACTAGCTAGGTCTGTGTGAGTGTGTGTGTGTGTGTCTGTGTCTGTGTGAATGTGTGTATGCATGTCTGTGTGAGTGTGTGTGTGTCTGTGTGTCTATCTCTGTGCAAGTGTCTGTGTGTCTATGTGTGTGTCTGTGTATCTATGTGTGTGTCTTTGTGTATATGTGTCTTTGTGTATGTGTCTGTGTATATATGTGTGTATATGTGTGTATGTCTGTGAGTATCTGTGTGTGTCTGTGTCTGTGTGTTCCTGTGGTGTGTGTGTGTGTGTGTGTGTGTGTGTGTGTGTGTGTGTATACGCGTAGGGTGTCTCCTGGCTCAGTGCTCAGATACCCGGCACAGCTTTGACCCCACGGCTCGGCTCCGGCCCCCACACAGGAAATGAGGACAGGGAGTTGGGAGCCGCGGGAGTGCATGTCGGCCGTGGTTCGAGTCCTGCTACCGAGGGTCCCTGAGCACTGCCGGGTGACCCTGGGCCGAGCAGCACCCGAGTGGCCCTGTGGCTCCAGGACTGTGTGAAACAGAAGAACCTGGAGTGGCGAGATGACTGCCGGGTGGCTCGGGCAGGGAGTGTCCACCCACCCGGACTCACTCACGGGCGCCCGGGCTGCCTCACCGCAGAAACCCCAGCAGTCTCAGGGCCAACCGCCGGCACCGCGGGGTCCCCTGAGCACTGCGGAAGGAGCCCGAGCACAGCTGGGGGTGGCGCCCCTGCCCCTAAGGAGAAAGCCGCAGTCGGGGGCAGTGACGCGCAGGCGGGCCTCGGGGAGGCGGCGGCGGCGGGGCCCGCGCCCTCGGGTGCCCGGGGTGACCGGCCCGTTGCGCCCAGGCCGAGCTGCGGCGGACGGCGGCGGAGAACGAGCAGCTGCGGCTGGAGCTGCAGACGGTGGAGGCGGAGCGCGTGCGGCTGTCGCTGCTGGAGGAGAAGCTGGTGGACGCGCTGCGCCTGCTGCGGCGGCTGCGGGAGCTGGTAGGGCGCGCGGGGTCCCGCGGCGGGGGCGGGTCCGAGCCCACTCCGGGGGGCCCGTGTCAGCGCCCGCGGGTCTGAGCCCGCTCCCTGGGGGGCCCACGGGGCGGGGACGGGTCTGCACCCGCTCCTCGGGGTCCCGCGGGGCGCCCAAGGGTCCGAGCCCTCTCCCTGGGGTCCCACGGGGCGCCCGCGGGTCTGCGCCCGCTCCGGGGTCCCACGGGCGGGGGCGGGTCCGAGCCTACTCTCGGGGATTCCATGTCAGTGCCCGCGGGTCTGAGCCCGCTCCCTGGGGGGCCCACGGGGCGGGGACGGGTCTGCACCCGCTCCTCGGGGTCCCGCGGGGCGCCCAAGGGTCCGAGCCCTCTCCCTGGGGTCCCACGGGGCGCCCGCGGGTCGGCGCCCGCTCCGGGGTCCCACGGGCGGGGGCGGGTCCGAGCCTGCTCCCGGGGATTCCATGTCAGTGCCTGCGGGTCTGAGCCCGCTTCCTGGGGTCCCACGGGGTGCCCGCGGGTCTGAGCCCTCTCCCTCCCATGGGGCGCTTGTGGGTTCAAGCCCACTCCCTGGGGTCCCATGGGTGCCTGTGGGTTCGAATTCTCTCCCTGGGGTCCCATGGGGTGCCTGTGGGTCTGCGCCCGCTATCAGGGATCTCAGAGAGCACCCGAGGGTCTGAGCCGGCTCCCTGGGGTCCCATGGGGCGGGGGCGGGTCTGAGCCCACTCCAGGGGTTCCCACAGGGTGCCCGTGGGTCTGCGCCTGCTGCCGGGGGTCTCACGGGGCACCCAAGGGTATGAGCCTGCTCCCTAGGGGTCCCATGGGGCGAGGGTGGGTCTGAGCCCGCTGCCAGGATCCCGTGGGGCAGGGCTGGGTTTGCATCCGCTTCCTGGGGTCCCATGGGCACCCACAGGTCTGAGCCGGCTCCCTGGGGGTCCCATGTCTGAGCCCCACTCCCCGGATCCTGCGGGACTGTTGGCTCTGATTCCGGGTCTGAAGCTGGTGGATCCCAGCGGGGAGAGGCATGGTCTTTACCAAGGGGCACCCAAGCTGAGACGGGCACCCCAAGGCCAGGTCCTTGCAGTGTGCGAGCAATGGGCACAGCCACAGGGCCTCCCGCCCAGCCTGTGGGACCCCCGATGCCTGAGGGGGTGGCCCAGGGCTGCCATCAGCTCCCAAACAGTCAACATCCTTCCCCAGAGAGCACCTTAGCAGGGGCAGTGCCTCTCCTGCTGACGGATGGGGGCTGGGCACTCTTCCCCATCCTGCCATGCCCACGTGCGGTGCAGTGAGACAGGGGCAGCCTTGGGTTTGAGCAAGGGGAGAAGGGCGGGGGGAGGGGCCTTAGGTGCTGGACACTCCGACCCTGGAACCCCACTGTCCCCGGGCCAGGCGGAGCCTCGGGCACTGCTGGGTATGGCCAGAACATGTGACCAGGAGAAAGGGGCATTATAGGACTAGAGGGGAGGGAAGGAAAGCTTGGAGGAGTGTGGGTTTATGGACCCAGAACACCCAGGGGGTACGAGAGGCGGGGCTGCCTTTCCGGGCCAGGGGTTTGAGCCAGAACACAGGCGACATGGTGTGAAAAGCAACAAACAGCCCCCCCCCCCCCCCCCGTGAAAAAGGCCCCGGGGATAGCACGGTGGGGACGGCGCTGGCCTTGCTTGTGGCTCACCGGGTCTGCTCCTGGCACCCCCACGGGGTCCCCTAAACCTGCCAGGTGTGATCCCTAAGTGTAGAGACGGGCACTGCTGGTGTGTCCCCCAAGTCCAAAAAGAGAGAACAGTGCTCGGAGCATGGAAGGAGGGTCTGAAGCCAGAGTCCAGAGGGCTGCATGGGCCCCGGCTGCTGGGAACAGAGTGCCACCCCGCGGCAGGCCACCGTGCCCACGGGTCTCAGCCGGCACCAGCCACACACACTTCGTCGGGCAGAGCAGCAGGACAGAGCATCCGGGCAGGTGCAGAGCGGGCAGTACGGCTGGGTAGTTCAGTGCACAGTGCGGCTGCATTGGCACACGCAGGGTCTCCCATGGCCTGGACCCTGCCCTGGCCACTCAGGGTGTCTGAGAAGCCCCTGAGCAGCGTCGCCAGACGAGGGGAGCGGCACAGACTCCGCCCACGGCCTGTCGCCTTTCTCTTGCAGAACATCTCCAAGAAGGCGCTGGGCAAGATTCTGCTGACCACGCTGGATGCTTGCGGGCCCCCCATGGAAGGTAGGAGCGCCCCCTGCTCCAGGACCCAGTCAGTGACTGCAGGACCCCCTGGCCAGAACAGTCTGGCTACGCCCAGGCCCAGCACTCTCCGTCCCAGAAATGCTGTCACTGCTCCTGCTTGGAGCACCAGCGGGAGCACAGCCTCGGCCAGAGGCAGAGAGAGGCGAGAGGGGTCAGGTCACGACCAAGCCTGCTCTCCCTGAGCTCGCTGGGGCCAGGCACTGGGGGGGCGAGTCAGAATGCTCACCCGTGCCTTCACTGCACCCCGAGAAGGAAGGGGTGTAAGTGCCCCCATTTCACAGATGTGGAGACTGAGGCCCGGGAACCAACCCACCACTTCCGGGACTCTGGGCATCTCCCTCTGCGTGACGCTACCCTGTCCTGTTGTGGGACAGCAGAAACACCCTGGGCCCGCTCACGTCCAGCAGAGCCTGACGAGCAGGCCGAGGGTCCCCCCCACCAGGTGCCCCGGGCAGGGCTTGGGCACGCGGAGAAGCCTCGAGCATGAGCTTCTCGTCCTCACTGGGCACTGGAGGGGGAGCTGGGCAGGGTGGGGGCCCAGGGAGCAGGGGGAGGGCACACGCAGGCTGACCCTGCCTCTGTCCTCCAGAGGGCACAGCTGGGCCCGTGGCCACCCTGGACGCCCTGTGCCAAGCCTTGGCCAGCTGCGAGCTCTTCCAGGGAGAGTCGCTCGCACCAGCCCCTGCCGCGCCCGCGCTCCCCAGCCCCCTGCTCCTCTCCTGCTGAGCCTCCGCCTGGCCCTGAGCACCTGCAGTCGAGACGCCATCCCAGCAGGCTCTGCAGTACCCGAACGCTGTCAGGCTAGCTCCACAGCCAGCCACCGCTAGAGAACAGCCTCCACAGAGACCAGCCTCGACAGACCAGCCTTCACCACAGACCAGCCTCTTCTAGAGGTGGGCCTCCACAGAGACCAGTCACTGCTAGAGACCAGCCTTGACGACAGCCCAGCTTCTTGGTACTAGAGGAACAGGAACACCTGGCCCTCAGGAGACCAGCTCAGGAGAGTCCTCCCAAAGGGTCCCCGACCCCGGCCAGCAGAGGGCGCTGCCGGGACGCTGACCTCCTGCCTGGGAGCCTCCTGGGGAAAATCTCCCGCACAGTTGTACAGGCACCCGCCTGCCCCCACCCCAGGGGCCGCGTGACAATGATGCTGGTGCCCTAGGGGCCGGGAGAGCTGGTCAGCATCACCTGCGGCCCTGTGCTTTCTGCCACTGCCAGCCGCACCTGGTCTGGGTCCAGGACCAGGCTAACCACCCTGCACACACACACACACACACACACACACACACACACACACACACACACCTGTCCCCGCCCCCACACTGGGCAGGTAGGACAGAGGCCGCTTCCTCCCCACGGGTCCCGGCAGCCTAGCCGCTCTGCTCCGCGTGGTGGCCCAGGATGTCATTCCTGGGGCGCTGCCCCCCTCCACCTGGCAGAAGCCGGTGACCAGCCTTGCACCTGCCCTTCCACCCTCAGAGGGGAGACGGAGAAGCCTCTTCCCTCGGCTCCCACCTCCGGGCACCCCTTGCACCAGCCCAGGCCCAGCTGCAGGACCAGCCAGGATGGCCACCTAGAGCCGGGCAGCTGTGTGTGTGTTGCGCGGAGGGGAGGGGGGCGTGAGTCAATACTGTCATGGAAAGGGGGAGAGTTTCTGGCTTCCAGGCCCTCGTGTATGAAGCCTGGGGGTCTAGAGAGCTGCACCCCCAAACCTGGAGAGACGGATGAGCAGGACAGGGAGAATCACAAACTACCAGCAAGGAAGCCCTGCTGCGGGGGCCGGGGGGAGGGAAGCCTGGACAGGGCAGTGGTTAGGAGAAGGCTTCGCTCTTGTCAGGGCGCGAGACCCCTGAATGATATGCCAGGTGCCACCATCCGTGGTCACGTGATCCGAGCAGCTTTGTGGCCTGTGACCCCGAGCATGGGACGGCAAGCAGCCTCAGACCGCACCCCAGCTCTGGAGTTCGGACTGGGCCCTGACAGGCACAGACAGACTTGGCCGTGACCCCTGGCCAGCAGCACAGCCCAAAACATTCACAGGCGGCGCCCGTGAGCACATGTGCAAACTCGGGAGCCAACAGAAGGCTGAGTTCCACGGCCAGTACCACGGCCACCGGGCAGGCACAAACTGTGCTGTCCAGCCCGGGTCACTGCAGCAACGTCGGCGGGGGGCAGAGAACGGGGAAGGCTGCAGGGCTCATGTCCAGGGGACCATGGTTTCTGATCTCTCCTGCAGCACCCCAGAGCCTCACGGTAAAGACCAAAGGACAAAGACTGCTGTGCTTCCGGCAGAGGAAGCGTTTGTTGCCTGATAACTGGGAAGGAGGGAGACGTGTGGGGGCCAGAGACATGGTACAGCGGGGAGGGCATTTGCCTTGCATGTGGCCAAACTGGATTCGATCCCTGGCATCCCTTATGGTCCTCCAGCCTCCAAAAGGAGTAATTCCTAAGCTCAGAGACAGGAGTAAGCCTTGAGCACTGTCACTGTCCTCCCATTGTTTATCGATTTGCTCGAGCGGGCCCAGTAACATTGTGAGACTTGTTACTGTGTTTGGCATATCGAATACGTCATGGGGAGCTTGCCAGGCTTTGCCGTGCGGGCGAGATACTCTCGGTAGCTTGCTGGGATCTCCGAGAGTGGTGGAGGAATTGAACCCGGCGTGGACGGGCCAGCTGCATGCAAGACAAACGCCCTACCACTGTGCTATCACTCCACCCGGCCTTGAGCACCAAAAAAAAAAACCAAACAAACAAAAAGTAAGAAAGAAGGTGAGTGCCGTAACAAGTGGAACCCACCTAGAGGACAACAAAAATATGTTCAGCCCAGATTAACTCCAAATAGATCGCAGACTCTTTTTTGTGTAAAATTCGGAACCATCGAACTCCCGGGAAATAACATGGAGGGTGGGGCTGGCATCCAAATGCCCAAGGAATCGCTCTTTCTTACATGCTACACCCCAGTTAATGATCCTTCCAGGCGGTTCCTGTCAAAATTGGAGGTTTCTGCTCAGAGAAAAACTGTCACAGGAAAGAGGATTCAAGTAAGTGCTGGGAGGGGCTGAGAAACCGCACAGCGAGGAGGCATTGCCTTGCAGGCGGCCGACCCGGGTTCAATCCCCGGCATCCCAGATGGTCTCCGGGAGTCACTGGGAGAGGAGCTGGGGCAGCGCTGATCACCATGTCAGCTTACACATCTCCGAATCCACAGGGTGGGACTCAGTGACAGAGCTCATGCCTTGCACATACGAGGCTGTAGATTCAATCCGTGGCACCACACACCAAAAAAAATTACAAAATTTTAGGGGCTAGATCAATAGCACAGCAGGTAGGGCGTTTGCCTTGCACGCAACCAACCCGGGTTCGATTCCCAGCATCCCATATGTTCCCCCGAGCACACCAGGGGTAATTCCTGAGTGCAGAGCCAGGAGTAACCCCTGTGCATCGCTAGGTGTGACCCAAAAAGCAAAAAAAAAAAAAAAATTTGGGGGGCTGGAGCAATAGCATAGCAGGCACTTGCCTTGCATACAGCCATCTGGGTTCAATCCCTGGCACCCCATCTGGTCCCCTGAGCACTGCCAAGCACCTCCAGAAGTGATTCCTGAGTTCAGAAGGAAGCCATGAGCATCTCCAGGTGTGCCCCCCCCCCGCCACCACACACACACAAAGAATGATCCCTGAGTAAAGCCAGGAGTAAAACCCTAGCACTGCTGGCTGTGCCCGACCCCCAAAACCAAATTAAAACTCTCTGGAGCCAGAGACACAGTACTTGTTTGCCTTGCATACAACTGGCCCGGGTTCAATCCCCGGCATCCCGTTTGGTGCCCCAACCCCGCCATTCCTGAGTGCAGAGTCAGGAGCGACTCCTGAATATGGATTGGCAAACAAACCAAAAAAAAAAAAAATTAACACTTAATAGACGGCCTCTCAGCCATGTCTGTGGACTGGGCCTGGTGGACCTTTGCTGACCCCTTGGCCTTGTTGGCCTGCAGCCGGGTGCCCGTCCCATCCACCCATGTGGAATGACCAGAGCCTTAGGAGACCTTGACCGTGGGTGTGACCTTAAGCAAAGGCCTGACAGGGTGGCAGGTCCCAGCTGTTCTCACAGTGAACAAGTTTGCGGGGACACTGGGATCTCCCCAGCGAATGGCCCAGGACAAACTCACAAATTCTCTCTCTCTCTCTCTCTCTCTCTTGTTTTGGGCATTGTAGTTTGCAATATTGATACTGAAACGTTTCAAGAATATTCCTCTACATAATTTTTTTTTTGCTTTTTGGGTCACACCTAGCGATGCACAGGGGTTACTCCTGGCTCTGCACTCAGGAGTTACTCCTGGTGGTGCTCAGGGGACCACATGGGATGCTGGGAATTGAACTCAGGTTGGTCGCGTGCAAGGCAAACGCCCTACCCGCTGTGCTATCTCTCCAGCCCCTTATTATCTTTTTTTATTTTTATTTTTTTGCTTTTTGGGTCACACCTGGCGATGCACAGGGGTTACTCCTGGGGGTGCTCAGGGGAAATGCCCTACCCGCTGTGCTATCTCTCCAGCCCTCCTCTACATAATTTTAATCCTCAAATCTTGTCCAACATAAGCATTCCCTGCGATTATTGCCATACTGCTCTCTTCTCTATCTCTCTTAGGTGGGTTTAAGATCTACTTCGTTAGCAACTCACACATGCACAAGACAGTATTGCTAAATTATAATCACATGTTGTACATTAAGGTGGGCACCCACGACCACGGGCAGGGGATCTGTTGACCCCCCCCTCCCCCCTGCCTGGTCTACAGATTCGGCTTCAGGCCCCGTCTCAGCGGCCCATCGGTCCCCACCAAGCAGGCAGGGCCATCGATGGAGTCGCTGACCGGAAAGGGGTGCAGTGAGGAAAGTGTCACAGAAAGATGGGGTTTGCCCCTGCCCAGGTGAGCGCAAGGCCCCCCACTCTGCCTGGGCGGTGTATCCATGGCTAAGGTGAGGCCTCCACAGTTGGGGGCAGGTGCTCCATTCCTGGGAACCCAGAATCCCAGAATCAGGAAGGAAAACAGGGTGGGGATGGGGAGGGGACCCACCAAATAAGGCGGGATCTCCCCACACCCCCGCTGAGTCTCAGCCACACCCCAGCCCAGACGCCTCCAGAGTCCCTCCCCGCATCCTTCAGAGCCGAGTCTCCACATCACATGGCTGAGCTTGGAATGTCCCTGCCACCCTCGGGCTCGTCTGTCACTGCTTCCACTCAATGAAAGCCGCAGTCCCCTGAGTGTGACCTCCACTTAGCGAGCTGGCCACTCACTGCGCCCTCCCTGCGCCCCGGCTCATGCCAAGGCCACAGGAGCCAAGGCCCCAGCCTGGGCCCAGCCATCCCAGGACCCTGTTCCCGACCGCTCTGCTGACCGCAGCATCTAGGGACCAGCACAGCCCAGCCAAGTCCCGAACTCTCCAGCAGAAAGTCTGAGAAAGTGGGGGCTGGAGCGATAGCACAGCGGGGAGGGCGTTTGCCTTGCGTGCGGCTGACCAGGGTTCAATCCCCAGCATCCCGTATGTTCTCCTGAGCACTGCCAGGAATAACCCCTGAGCCTGGCAGGGTGTGACCCAAAAGCCAAAAAACAAAACAAAAAAAGAAAGTAAATGAGCACATTTTCCTTTACTGCATCTTTGTGGGGGAAATGATGTCTTATGTAGCAAGGGATAACGAGTACGCTTCCTAATAAAAATAAATTATGCGTCCCCAAAACATGGTGTGATGGCGGGGGGCGGGGGGGGCATGACTTTCGGTATTTGGTGACGGTGGAGACCAGACATTTATCCCCAGCAGGCGGGAGGACAGGGGTCCACAGCATGGGCTGAAGGAACATTCAAGGGCACAGGATAGGGGAGGGGAGGGGACCGTTTGCTGGGGGCAATGACCATGATCCAGACAGGCAGATTTGCGCAGGTCTGAGGGATGATGGCCCGAGGGCCAGGAGGACACGTGAGCGGGGGCTGCAAGTCCCATGCCTGCACTGCTGGTCCCGCAGGACTTTGCTTCCAAAACAAATTCCAAGAGAAAATGATCTGGAATGTCAAGGTCAGAGAGATGGTTCATGGCCGGAGCTCTGCATCCGGGTTCAGCCCTCCTCGGCACTGCGTGGTCCCCTAAGTACCATGGGGAGTGACTCCACCCTCACCTCAAGCACCGCCAGGAGTGTCCCACCCCCCCCCCAGAATTTTCAGTGTGATCTCCCCAAATAAAAAACTTTTTAAGGAGAGGCTGGAGAGATAGCACAGCGAGTAGGGCGTTTGCCTTGCACGCGGCCGACCCGGGTTCGACTCCCAGCGTCCCATGTGGTCCCCCGAGCACCGCCAGGAGTAACTCTTGAGTGCAGAGCCAGGAGGAACCCCTGAGCATCGCCAGGTGTGACCCAAAAGCAAAACAAAACAAAACAACTTTTTAAGGATGATCAATGTGGGGGCAGGAGCAATAGTACAGCGGGTACGGCGCTTGCCTTACATGCAGCTGACCCAGGTTCAATCCCCGGCGACCCATAAGGTCCCCTGAGCACCACCAGGAGTAACTCCAGAGCACAATGCCAGGAGTAAGCCCTGAGCATCGCCAGGTGTGGCTCCAAACCAAACCAACAAAAGGAGATAAATTTCAAAACAGCAAGGTAGAGAGTAAGCCCAGGGGAACCCCGCGTTTTTTGTTCTGACCGTGGGTGGAGGGAAGGCAGGACACGCAGGGATGGGCTGACCGTGCTAGTGCGTCTCCGGGAAAAAAAAAAACAGGAAAATTGGATTTTAGGCATCGTGTCACACTTTACCCTGGCCCTTGCTTATTAAGGTGCCTGTGGGATTGTTCAAATGACCTGAAAGTTTGGGTAAATGCCTGCAAATGTCTAACCAATGCCCTCTCTGACTTTCTGACAATAAAATTTCTTTTGCCCTTAAATCACCTTCCCTCAACCTCCACCGGAAAATAGCCTGAGGCTGCACACACCTGCCACTAGGTGGCGACCAAGCTCAGGGGGACAGCGGGACTGGTCAGAGCCACCGGCCAGCCAGCAGCGAGTTCCAGTGCGCCCCAGGGGAGAGTGACACTGAGCAGGCTGTCGTCTGTGTCCACTCCCAGCGGTCCTGTCATCCACCTGGTATTTTTCTTAGAACCAACACACTGTCTTTGTGGGGAGGAGACAAGGTTTGGGGGCCACAATCGGCCGTGTGCTCAGGGGGCCACGGGGTCCTTGGGATTGAACCCAGGTCCAGCTGGCCAAGTTTGTGTTCAGCCCATTGAGCTGCGTCCCTGGCCTCAGCTCACTCTTGAAACTTTTGGAAATGGTTGTCAGAAGGAAAGTTTGTGGGCTCTCGCTCAGTGAAGCCAGTCCCACTGGCCACGCAGACAGTCAGCACTGTCCAGGTGGGTGTGTGGACCTTGGGTGGACAGGTTGAAGCTCTGAGGGGTCTTCGGCACTGAGACTGTCATTTGCAATGACTGGGAGGGACTGGGAGAAGGAGGCCAGAGAGATCAGTCCGAGCCAAAAGCCTGAGGCAGGAAGATTCTAGAATGTCTGGGGAGGAAGAAAAGCAGATCTATTTGGTTGGAGGTTACTAAGCAGAGGAGGTGCTCAGTGGGATCAAGAGGTGGGCCGGAGGGGGCACAGATCAGACAGGACAGGGGTTAAAGCACTTGCTTTGCACACAGCTGACCCCCGTTTGATCTTTGGCAATGCATGGTCCCCCCAAGGACCACCAGGAGTGACCCCCAAGTGCTGCCAGGTATGGCGCAACACCTCCCTGCCAAAACAAAGAAAGAAGTAGGCAGGAGCCAACTTGCAGGGGCCATGGGGGAGCGGGGTTTTATTTGGCGGTGGGGGAGGGGGGCACTGGGAAGCTGAGGGGATAAGGAGCCACCACAAAAGCGGCAGGATGGGGGAGGAGGAAAGTTCTGGAACAGGTCTGGGCCGAGGGTTGGACAGTGAGCAGAGACTGATCTTCAGGGGTTCTGGGCTGGAGAGACGGTGGAGAGGGCGATAGAGGAACCCCTGGGTATCGCCGGGTGTGGCCCCAAACCAAGAAACGAAAAGCAGGATGTCATGAGTGAGGATGGAATTCAGAGCCCACCTTCACAGTTCTGTTCCTGTTGAAGCAACAAACACCACCACCTTCGGGGTCACTGCCCCACCCATCTGCTTCCTCACTTGTTTCTGTCTGTCTGCTTTGGGGTGACATTGGTGATGCTCAGGGATCATTCCCACTGGTGCTCGGGGGCGTGCTGGGGATCGAACCTGGGCTCCTGTCTACAAAGCCTGCACTTGGGGGGCTGGAGAGATACTACAGCGGGTGGGGCACTTGCACACGACCAGCCTGGGATAATCCCCAGCACTCCGTATGGTCCCCAAGCCCCCCAGGAGTAAGTCCTGGGTGCAGTCGAGAGGCTCCTGAGCACTGACGGGTGCGGCCCAAATTCTTTTCTGGAAAAACCTAAAACAAAGCCCAGCTCGGCCCTCTGAGCCAGCCCTGGAGCGACCGTGTCACACTTTCTGGGCTCTGGGTTCTCTGCTGGTCTCAACAGGCCGAAGCCCAGGCAGGGAAGAAGTGAGTGTCCACCACCGGCCTAGGGCTCAGCCAAGGCCTGGTCATCAAGCCGCAGGCGGGGTCCAACTTCCCCTTGCAGTATCCCTCGCTTCCTGTCCACCGCCAACAGGGCCCAGGGGGTTCTCCCCCCATCCTCGGGGCCCCTGCATCTGGGGGTGAGGGAAAGGCCTGTGGGGACCTGGGCAGGTGCACACGTGGCGGCGCGCGCCGGCTCGGGTCAGGGGCGCTGGTGCCCGCAGCACATCCGCCCTGAGAGGCAGCTAAGCAAGGCAAAGCTGGCCTTTGGGGGGGGTCATTCAAGGAGAGCCCCGGGGCTGCATTCCAGAATCACTGAGGACCCAGGTTTCCTCTGCTTCCTGCTCTGCGCCCTGGACCACCCTCACTTCCCCTTCCCTGCCCTTGCAGCCAGCAGGATGAGGAACCTAGAGCAGCAGACTTCCGGTCCTCTCTGCTCCCCATTGGCTACACCTGGTCATGTGACTGCACCTTGCGGCAAAGGCGCCTGGGAGATGTAGTCTTTGACTCAAAGGCCAGGTGTCCAGCTCAACCTTAGTGTGCACCCAGGGAGAGTGGACATAGTGGGGTGGACGGTTTTCCAGTGTTAGCTTGTGAGGCCATGTTGGTGAGCAGGATGCAAGGACAGTGACAAGGACACTGGCCTGCAAACCATGATAACCTCTGGGATGGGCTGAAACTGGCCCGAGCAGAACATGTGGAGGTGCTATTGGGTGGTGGGGTGCTTAAGTGAAGCTATTGCGGGTGATGCCCGGTCTATGGCTGACCAAGGGCAGAACCCAGCAGGAGACAGCGGCCAACAAGCTGTGAGGCCAGGATGCCCAAGGCTTATTATGGTCATGAGCACTGGGGCTGGAGGAAGACGGAGTTCAGGTGAACAGGAGCTGCCCAGAAGGCAGGAGTGGCGGGGGGGGGGGGGGGCGGGGGGGCAGCAGCAGATGGCCTGGCCAAATCACACGCCCCCAGGAACTGGGGTTTATGTGAGGAGCAGTTGCTGGGAAACAGAGAAATCGGGGTTCCCATTCTGCAGGGGAAGGAGCAGAGGAGACGGGGGTGAATACCATCTGAGAGAGGGGTCAGAAGGCAGGGTCATCCAGCAGCCGAAAACCTCCAGAACCCAACCACCGCTGTGCTCAGCCAAGCCTTGCACAAGAGTAAACGTATTCCTGCACTGTGTGGCCGCAAATGCGGCCGCAGGACACATCATAAGACACACCCTACCCATTTTCTAAGAGTACCACACCACATTTGATGGGGTTCAAAAGTAGCAACCAATCATCACTCACTGTCACTGTCACTGTTCTCCTGTTATTCATCAATTTGCTCAAGTGGGCCCAGTAATGTCTCCATTGTGACAATTGTTACTGTGTTTGGCATATTGGATACATCACAGGTAGCTTGCCAGGCTTTGCTGTGCTGATGAGATACTCTCGGTAGCTTGCTGGGCTCTCTGAGAGGAGTGGAGGAATCGAACTCGGGTCGGCCATGTTGGCTGCTTGTAAGGCAAACGCCTTACCCGCTGTGCTATTGCTCCAGCCCAACCAATCATAGACGGAAATATATGTGTGTGTGTATATATATATACATATATATATTTATTTATTTACAGATATATATGAAAGTTCACAGGCTCGACCTTTAACAACATGTTCGTGATATCTTATAGAAGGTCTTAATGGCCCCTGCTAAAATAGAACAATCTTCACACTCTTTCCTCTATGGATACATTTTTGTAGCATTTTCAGCAGTTTTTCATAACAAACAATACAAAATATATTATTTCGGTTCTGTTTTGGCACAGGGATTGGGGTTTGGGATGGAAACATCACAAATATGGCGGTGAGAAAGTGTAAAGGTGGTGGGATTGGTGTTTGAATATTAAATGTAGTCAAATGTTGTGAACTACCTTATAAGATTAAAAAAAATTACAAAAAAAGAAGGCGGGATCAGAGCGGGGGGTCAGGGGCCAGAGTGATAGTGCAGCAGGGAGGGCATTTGCCTTGCATGCACTGGGCCTGGCTTTGATCCCCAGCACCTCATATGACCCCCCAAGCCATACTTGTAAGGAGTGATTCCCTGAGCACAGAGCCAGGGGTAAGGCCTGAATACCACTGGGTGTGGCCCAAAAGTGAAAAAGGAAGCAAGCAAGGAAGGAGGAAGCAGGGAAGGAAGGAAGGAGGGAAGGAAGGAAGGAAGGAAGGAAGGAAGGAAGGGAGATGGGGAGGAGGAAGAGGGGGTAGGAGGCAGGAAGGAGAGAGGTGAGGAGAGGAGGAATAAAGTAAGGAAGCAAGCGAGGAAGGGAGGAACGGAGGAAGGAAGGAAGATGGAGGGAGCTGGAGCAATAACACAGCGGGTAGAGCATTTGCCTTGCACGTGGCCGACCCAGGCTCGATTCCCAGCATCCCATATGGTCCCCCGAGCACCACCAGGAGTAATTCCTGAGTGCATGAACCAGGAGTAACCCTTGTGAATGGCTAGGTGTGACCCACAAAAAAAAAGGGAAAAAAAGGAAAAAAAAGGAAGATGGAGAGGAGGAAGGGAGGGAGGGAGAGGTTAAAGAGGAGAGAAGGAAGAAAGGAAGCAAGGAAGGAAGGAACGAAGAGAGGGAGGGAGGGAGGGAGACAGGGAGGGAGGGAGGAGAGGAAGGCAGAGTGGGGATAGTGTCCAGAGAGGGGAGGGAATTCAGGCTAGTGGCTGATGGGATGTGGGCGTGAGGTGAGGAGAAGTGGGGTCCCGGGTACCCTGGGTTTCTGGCTGGGGATTGAGCAGAGATGGTGGGCCCGGCCCTCCCAAGGCAGAGAATACTGAGAGAAGGCTGGTTTTAGGTGCTGGGGAATACAAGGACCCTGTGGGCTGCAGAGGGCTGCCCAAGTGACCCTGGGCACCCGAGGCTGGGCTGGAGAGATGGGGGCTGGGGGCTGGGGGAATGGGCACAGCTGGACTTGCAACCCAGAAGGAATATATGGGACTGAGTAGAAAGGGGGTAGTGTCAGACAGGCCACAAAGCAGAGTAGAGCAGGGTGGGAGGGAGGTGTGCTGTGGTTCTTGGCACACAGGTGCACACACACACAACACACACACACACACACACACACACACACACACACACACACACACTCCTACAAGGTGGACAACCATGAGCAGCCCTGTCCCCGTCCCAACACACCTGTGCCCTGGGCTGAGGCCACCAAGGCAGGGGCCATGCCGTGAGGCACACTGTGAGGGCTGTTCTGTCAGCTGGGGGTGGGCGGGCCTGGGCTGGCCTCTGGGACTAGGGATAAGCGGGGCTATTTCCATCGCTTCCTTCCTCCCCTCAGGCCCACCACGACCCCACCAGAACGGGGCAGGGCCCAGAGAGGAGAGTCCAGCTGCAGGCCTCAGAGGTAAGAGCCGGCGCTGCCTCCGGGCCAAGGGGAGCTGGGCCAGCCGACCCCCTCTTGGCCCTTCCCTCTGGAGCACAGGGCGGGTGGGGCTCGGCCTCGGGTTCTGGTTCTTCCTGTGGGGGGAGGTAAGTAGGTACACACCTGTCGATGCTCAGGGCTTGCTTCTGGCTTTGCACTCAGGAATCACTCCTGGCGGTGCTCAGGGGAGCTTATGGGGGGGCCGAGGATAACCCCGATCATTGGCATGCAAGGCAAATGGCCACCTGCTGCACTATCGCCCCGGCCTCCAATCCTCCCCTTAGAGGCAAACAGCCTACTACACACACACACACACACACACAGACACAGAGAGACACACACACACAGATTGGGGCAGCCCCCTACACACACACACACACACACACACACACACACACACCACACCACACACACACCACACACACACACGAGCTGGGAAGCCCCCTACAGACATATAGACATACACACAGAGGCTGGGGCAGCCCCCTACACACACACACACACACACACACACACACACACACGGGTTGGCCAGCCTGCACAGGTCGCTCCTCTCTCTGGCCTTCACTGTCCCAGCCTGGAGGTCAGCCTTCCTCTGTGGCCTCCTGGAGCCCATTAGCAGAGCTGACCTCAGGGTGGCCAAGCCTTGCACAATGCACAGAACGAACGTCCCGGGCTGCGTCTCTGGGCCGGGCAGCCTGGGAGGCCCCTGCAAGGCCCTTCCCCAGCCAGGTCCATCCTGGGAGCTGCTGGGCCCTGGAGCTTCTGCCCCGCCCCTAAGGAAGCACCTTCCCTTTCTCCAGCACCATCAGATGCCGAGGGACACACCTTTTCGCCCTCCCAACCACAGACCTCACCCCTGCACAGCCCCGTGTCTGGACCCCCATCACCACTCACCAAGTGGGGGGGAGCGTGCGCACTAGGCCCCAGGTCCCGTGGGCCCGCTGCCCCCCGGGACCGGGTGTTGGCGCCCCCCCCAACGCCCCACCTTCTCCTGACAGCCGCTCCCCGCCCGCAGCAGCCCACCCGATGTCCGCCGGGAAGCCCCTGCTCCTGCTCCCGCTCCTGCTCTGGGCGTCGGCGGCGGCGGTGCCCTCCCGCGACTGCCCCGCGCCCTGCAGCTGCCAGCTCCTGGACACCATGGGGCTGTGGGTGGACTGCGCGGGCCGCGGGCTCTCGGCGCTGCCCGCGCTGCCCGCGCACACCCGCCACCTGCTGCTGGCCAACAACAGCCTGCGCGCCGTGCCCGCCGGCGCCTTCGACCACCTGCCGCAGCTGCAGACGCTCGACGTGGTGCAGAACCCGTGGCACTGCGACTGCGACCTCACCTACCTGCGCCTCTGGCTGGAGGACCGCATGCCCGGGGCGCTGCAGCACGTGCGCTGTGCCAGCCCGGCCCGGGCCACGGCGCGCCCGCTCGGCCAGCTCACGGGCTACGAGCTGGGCAGCTGCGGCTGGCGGCTACGCGACGCCGAGGCCTGGCGCCGGGTCTGGTGGGACGTGGCGCTGGTGGCCGTGGCCCTGCTGGCCCTGGCGCTCCTGGCCGGGCTGCTGTGCGCGGTCTCCGAGTCCCCGCGCTGAGCCCGGGGGTCCGCCCCACCCCCCGCCGCCCCCCGCGAGCCCCAGGGGTCACAATAAACCTGCAGCTGCCCATACCGACTCGCTCTGCGCAGCCACGCAGCCTGGCACCCGCGCCACCGGCTTCCAACACGCACTTCGGGCCTTTCCTGCCACCCCTCATCCAGCTTTTCTCGTAAAATGCGCCCCTCATAGGCACCCCCAGTTCCCCCCTCTCTGACACCCAGGGCGCGCTCCTGCCTCGGGTCCTCCTTCCCCGACCCCATCCCGCCCCTCCCCAAGGCCCACCCAGCCAGCAGCACAGACGGGGTGGGGTGGGGTGAGGGGCGCAGCCAGTCCCCCATGGCCTCTGGCACTCAGCCCTGCCCCTGCAGCCAGAGGCCCCTTCCATGGCAGCAGAGCCGTGCCCAGGCGGCCCCAGCCAGGCCAGCCAGGGCCACCAGAGCCAGCGCTCCTGGCTGGTGACTTCTGTCCCCTGTGGAAGCCCCACTGCCTCACTCCAGGCGGGCCCCCACGGACCCCCCATTCCATGGGGCCCCTTCCTCCTCTCCACCTCCGTGCGAGGTGGTATCACCACCCAGACCTGTCCACTGGGGGTAAAGCACCAATAACTGTCACTGTCATTCACCATCCTGACAGCACCATCAGATGCCGAGGGACACACCCTTTCGCCCTCCCAACCACGGCTTTCCCTCAACCACCGCTTCCCTCACGCCTGGTGGCCAGCTGCCCCAAGCTGGGGGATGGGGGCTTCAGCACGGCTCCTGGCAGCTGCCGAGTGCATCCTCCGGGTACCGGGGACCTGGGGTGCCGTCCTCAAGCCAGTGGGCCTGCCGCCAGGGTGCTCGAGTCCTGGCTGGGGTTACAAAGGGGACCCTGGGGAGTCGGCCCAGGACTGGTCAGCAGCCCCTGCCCTTAAAGGCAGGTCTCTGCTAAGGGTGTGTGCTTGTCCAGCGAGAGGCGACACTGCTGAGCCCTTTCAGAAAAGGGTGCACCCACCACACTGAGCCCCGGCCCACAGCGTGACCCCAACACTGCACACAGCTCACGGTTCTGCAGACTCAGAGCCACGCGGCCACATGTGTGCCTGCGTGCACACACACACGTGCTCACACAGATACAGACACATGTACGCTCACACATGCATGCACACACGCAAGCTCACACATGCACGCACGCTCATAGAGACAAGGACGCTCACATACTCACATATGCATGCACACACATACATGCTCACAAGCATGCTCACACGTGGTCATGCACACACAAGCATTCACATACACACACTCATGTGCACACAATTGCATGCTCACACACATGCATGTGCACACTGAGGTTCTCAGGCCCCGTGTGGGCATCCGGGAGCCACGTGGCGTCCATCCCTGTGTGTTCACAGCCTGCAAGTCCTGAGAGCGGCGAACATTCATCTCCAGCCAAGCCCCTGGGCCACTGAGTGTATGTCCTGTGGGCAGCCAGAGGAAGATGGGTCCTGGGCTCCATAGCCCCAGGGGGAATTCAGGAGCTTGGGGAATCTTCTGGAAACAGCCTGGCTCAGCTGACACTGCCCCAACCCCCTTGTCAGTTCTCTAGAGGGCTCTGTGGATGCTAATTTGAGCTGACTTGCACTTTGGTTTTGGCTTTGGGTTTCCGAGGTAGCTCTAAGAAAGTGGGTTCAACTCAGCGAGAAGCGCTCACCTACCTCAGTTTCCTCATTTCAAATGGGTACACCCCTCTCCCAATTCTGACCGCCGCGGCTTCTGCAGAGATACCCGTTGCTGATAGCTCACGGCTGGCATCAAACTGATAGTTTGTGGTCAAGCTTTCTAGACTTTTTCCTTTGCACTTACAAGTATGTGTACATACCAACAGGACCATTTTTAAAAAAAAAATGTTATTAGTGAAACACCATGAGGTACAGTTGTAGACTTACAAATTTTTGTGCTTGGGTTTCAGTTATACAATGATCAAGTATCCATCCCTCCACCAGTGCCCATTCTCCATCACCAATGATCCCAGTATCCCCATCCCCCCATCCTACACTGCCTCTATGGCAGGGCACTCCCTTTCCAACAGAACTATTTTTGTCGTATGGCAAGTTTGTAGGGGAATGTTATCATAAACACACACACACATATAAGAAATAGCCTTTCCTTCCCATGACTGTGTTATTTCTAGAGATGCCTCTGTTAGCAGTCTCCTATCCCACCTCCCTCTCTGGCTGTGACACGGGGTTCGCATTGTGCTGTGTCCTGCATTTCTTTGTCCTCAGTTGACAGAGAAATGAACGATGGCGCCTGTGTTCTCTGTACAATGCTACGGCATCTGTGCGGCTGTCTCTAGGTGCACTGCTCCTTAAAGGGGGTTCCAGGAATTGCTGAAATTCCCAGGACTCAGCTGGTCCCCAAGTTCAAAGCTATCTTCATAAGACAAGATGTGTAGTAGTGGCGTTTTTCATCCTCATCTTCTCAAGTTAAAAACCCTATGAGGGGGCCCGGAGCGATAGTACAGCGGGGAGTGTGTTTGCCTTGCACTCAGCCAACCCAGGTAGATCTCCGACATCCCATAGGGTCCCTCGAACACCGCCAGAAGTAATTCCTGAGTGCAGAGCCAGGAGTCACCTCTGAGCCTCACCAGGTGGCCCAAAAGCCAGGGTGCGGTGCAGGGGAAACCTTATGAGGGATCCAGGGTTCTGACTTGGTGGTCTGGCTCTGACTTCCCTTCCAGAACCACATAAGCAGCAAACAAAAAACAATCTCTTGGGGCTGGAGTGGGGAAGGCACTTGTCTGGCCTGTGGCTGACCAGGGTTTGATCTCCGGCATCCCATATGGTCCCTTGAGCCTGCCAGAAGTGATTCCTGAGTGCAGAGCCGGGAGTAAACCCTGAGCACCTCTGGGTGTGGCTCCCAAACCAAAAACAAACAAAACAACCTCTTAGGATAATGGAAGGTGGGGCTGGAGAGATAGCGGTGCCTGCGGCGACCCAGGTTCGATTCCCACCATCCCATATGGTCCCCTCAGCACCAGGAGTGACTCCTGAGTGCAGAGCCAGGAGTGGCCCCTGTGCATAGCTGGGTGTGACCCAAAAAGCAAAAAAAAAAAAAAAAAGATAATGGAAGGGCTGCAGCGATAGCACAGCAGGTAGGGCAGTAGGACGCTTGCCAATCCCAGGTTCGATTCCCAGCATCCCATATGGTCCCCCGAGCACCACCAGGAGTCATTCCTGAGTGCATGAACCAGGAGTAACCCCTGTGCATCATTGGGTGTGACAAAAAAAATAATAATGAAATCTTCCAGAGTCACCATATTTTACCACATAACTAGTCTCAGGTTTTATGCCAAATCTTTCTGGCAAAGAGGTAGGACGTGACCAATACAGGACTCAGGGGTTGATCCTGATGATGCCCTGGATTGAACCTGGAGTGCACGGACGCCAAGCACTGTCCTCTGAGCCCCTCCCCGCTGGTCTCTGCCCGCTGCTGATACTTCTATAAGCCGCCATGTGGTCTGTCCATTCTGTCCCCAGGAGTTTGGGTTAGTCCACCCCCCACCCTCCTCAAAAGCTGTCCCCTGGCTGGGGGCGACTGTCCCTGTCCCTGGCCTCTCTGAAACCCTGAAAGCTGAGACAGCTCTGGGCCCACTTTGCTGTCACTAATGGTATATTCGAGTTTTTCTCTATTTTAGTAATTGTGAAAAATAAATCCGCTGCAAGGTCTCTGCACTTGTGTCCCCCTGTCGGCCCTCAGAGAGTGTGGGTTGGACTGTTTCCTATGACGGTGCCTTCCCTCAGGCAAACCTGGGGAGAATCATTCTTCCATCCTGTGGTCTGTCAGTTTTGGGGACACATCCGGAATGCTGCCTGTTTTCCCTCCGTTTGAGGGAGCAGAATCAGCTGTGCCCCCTGGTGTCCTCCTAGGAGTCAGGTTCCTACAGGGTGACAGACACTCCCGGTGCTAGGCACTGTCCCACTGTATCTCACAGACCTGTGTGTCCTGTCCCAAGTACCTACTTCATTAAGGCAGAAAGCCACGCGGCCCAGCTGGGGGGAGTGACTGTCACTGGCGCCTTCCTCACCTTGTTTCACAAGTGGTGAAGGGGGAATAGCGGCCAGCGCTGGGATTTGATGCCAGCAAAGGGAGTGCTCCAGAGTGGTGCTCCCTGCTGCTGAGGCTCAAGCCTGGGTCCTGTGCAAACCAGCCATGTGCTCCAGCCCTTGGCACTGTCTCCCGGGTCCCACACTGGTTGGCCCAGGAAGTCTGTAATATCAGGCACAGGGAGAGTCCCCAGGGAAGTTGAACTTCCTGAGTCCAGGTCTCCAAAGCCTTTCTTTATTTTGAGATATAAATAAGCTACCATCTTCCTGAAATGTCCTCTCTTCTCCCTCCTACCTTTCTCCTCTTGTCCCAGCTCAGGGCATTTGGTTCTGAAAATGTGGGGGATTCTTTCAAGTCAACTGGGGGTTGGGATCAGAGCTGTAATACAGCACATCAGGCTCTTGTCTTGCATGTGACCAAACCGGGTTCGATCCCCAGCATCCCATACGGTGCTCTGGGCAAAGCCAGGAGTGATCCCTGAGCACAGAGCCAGGAGTAAGCCCTGAGCATTGCAGGGGTGACCCGGTGGAATACAATGAGGCAGAGAGAGGAATCAAACTTCCCAGAGGCAAGAGGGATGGGAGTGTAACTGGGTGCCGGATGTTGGTCAGGGTGATGAAGAAGCTGGGGACATGGTCTCCCGATGCTGTGGACAGCTCAGTGGCGCTGGATTACGTACTAATAGGCAGGCCAAGCAATTCCCATTGGTCTGTGTGTATTTCATCACACATGTGCACATAATAAAACATGTAAAGGGGACCCCAGGGATGACTTGATGCCTGCAAACATGAGGACGTGAGCTCAATCCTCAGGGCTGCCCCTATGTATGGGTCTGGCCCACCTGGCATGCCATAGCCCGTGCGGCCTCCAAAAGGGAGCGAACACCGCAGCGAAATGAACGTGAGTCCCAGA